CTTTATTGGCTACCTTATGATGTGTATGGATCTTGTAGATAGCCATGTCGGCCAAGGTGCCCTTTCTAGTAAGCGTGTTGTAATGGTGATTGTCTGGTTTTCACAAATTAACCAGGCAATGATATCTATTTTTCTGTTTTTTCTGCATGTAAAAATGTGGCGGCCTGGCCACTAGCTTGTAAGATTGTGTGTGCAAGATGTAAACATACCCTCATGGACCCAAAAAACCTGGTCTCATGTTCATGCGACTCACAGGGTGCTCATTTGGCCACAACAAGACTTATTTGACGATGTGTGGGTATATAGTTGGTAGTATCTCATTGGTGCCGGCATTTGTAGCAGTCTTGCCCGTCCCAGGTGAGGGTGCACACGCTACAACCCACGGCGAAGCTCCATGGGACATGGGAGGTCTTGGGAACGCCCTCACCGCGAATGATGGGAGCGTGGCGGCGGGCATGGGCAGGACCCCTCGAGCCTGCCTGGTCTTTGCTTGATCGATCTTCCTCGGTTCTGCCTGGTAGGCCGGTTCTTTTGGCCGCGACGGCTACTGGCTGTACTGTGCTGCAAGTGTGTAGTAGTCCATTGGACAGTCTCTCACTGATTGTCTAGGCAGCAACAACGGGAGGGAAATGGCTTCAGGAAGGTAGCTCGATAGGAGCCGCATGTTTTTCCTAGTATTGGATTTTGTAGTACTATATCAGATACAGAAGCCCAAAGGTTATTCTGTATACTGTATATCATTTGGGCGAAATTCAAAGAGTAAAACACGTCGTTAGTCTATGAATGAACTTGCCATCCATGAGCTCGTTCTTATGCGAGCCTCGCTATTAAGATCGGAGCTACCTGATCCTTGATGCGCTCGGTGGATTGTTTGATATTGGTTGGTAGGGTTCTTGTGTTGTTTATATCCTGAGGGCTCTTGATTGGTTTGGTTGTCTGTGGAGTCGAAGTTGATTGCTTTGAAAGAAGTGATGATGATAACAGCCAAGTTGGCTAGGGTGCCCTTTCTTGCGGGCGTATTGTAGTGGTGTTCGTCTGGTTTTTGGTTTTTTGCAAATAAATCAGGCAATCTTTACCTTTTTCTTAATGAATTGAGTTCTAATAAGGTATCGACTTTTAAAAAATTATCACATTGCCTGCAAAATGTGGTGGCCTATTCACTAACTTGTAAGATTGTGTGTGTGATATGAAAATATACCCTCGTGGACGAAAGAAAACTGATACCCTCATAGTTGCATTACTCAGCAGGACCGTCTCGGTTAAAATTACAGATGTTTAAAAGTTCATCAGGACAAGAACCTATCCGCACAGCGGAATTGGTTCAGTTCATCCATAACTAATCGTTAAATCACTAGCTTTATTCTGGATACGATTAATATGAGCAATTCCAACTAAGCGTTGATCATGAAACATGGAGTTTATTTCATGAATAAGAAACCCAAACCGGGAACAATCATCATTGCGCTCAGAAACCATCTTCGCCGTTCTAGACAGTCCGATTCCAATGTCGATAGTGATCTAACAATAATCCTACACCTTCAAAGAATGTACAAATGTTTTACTTAACTTTTCAAACAATTCTCTCCCCCCTCTCGCCTGAATTCAACTGGGGTGGCTTCCTTCATCCCATAATTACATGCTATTCTATCTAAAATCATAGATGAATGAAATGAGGCGAAAAGCCTCCACTCTACAAAGATGAATTATGTAGAGCATGGTATCAAACGGAATAGACTTTGTGATGCTTGAAATGAGGCGAAAAGCCTCTCGCTGACTGTCTGGGTGGTAGCCACACATCAGGAAGGAAATGGCTGCATGAAGGCAGCTCGATAGGAGCCGCATGTTTTTTCTAGTATTGGATCTTATACTATCAGATTCAGAAGACCAAAGGGTATTCTGTATTCTACTCCCTCCGTCCGAAAAAGCTTGTCCCTCAAATGCTAGATACACCCATTTGAGGGACAAACTTTTTTGGATGGAGAGAGTATACCAATTGAGCGAAATTCAAAGAGTAAAATGGGTCGTTAGTCTATGAACTTGCCATTGATGTGCTCATTCTCATGCGAGTCCCTTTATTAAGATCAGAGCTATTTATCCTTGTTGCTTTCGGTCGATTGTTTGACATTGGTTGTGAGGGTTCTCTTGTGTTGTTTATCCTCAGGGTTCTTGATTGGTTGTCCGAAGCAGAGTTGAAGTCGCTTACTCTGAAAGAAGTGATGACTATGATACTTTATTGGCTACCTTATGATGTGTATGGATCTTGTAGATAGCCATGTCGGCAAAGGTGCCCTTTCTAGTAAGCGTGTTGTAATGGTGATTGTCTGGTTTTCACAAATTAACCAAGCAATGATATCTATTTTTCTATTTTTTCTGCATGTAAAATGTGGCGGCCTGGCCACTAGCTTGTAAGATTGTGTGTGCAAGATGTAAACATACCCTCATGGACCCAAAAAACCTGGTCTCATGTTCATGCAACTCACATGGTGCTCATTTGGCCACAACAAGACTTATTTGACGATGTGTGGGTATATAGTTGGTAGTATCTCATTGGTGCCGGCATTTGTAGCAGTCTTGCCCGTCCCAGGTGAGGGTGCACACACTACAACCCACGGCGAAGCTCCATGGGACATGGGAGGTCTTGGGCACGCCCTCACCGCGAATGATGGGAGCATGGCGGCGGGCATGGGCAGGGCCCCTCGAGCCTGCCTGGTCTTTGCTTGATCGATCTTCCTCGGTTCTGCCTGGTAGGCCGGTTCTTTTGGCCGCGATGGCCACTGGCTGTACTGTGCTGCAAGTGTGTAGTACTCCATTGGACAGTCTCTCGCTGATTGTCTGGGCAGCAACAACGGGAGGGAAATGGCTTCAGGAAGGTAGCTCGATAGGAGCTGCATGTTTTTCCTAGTATTGGATTTTGTAGTACTATATCAGATTCAGAAGCCCAAAGGTTATTCTGTATACTGTATATCATTTGGGCGAAATTCAAAGAGTAAAACGCGTCGTTTGTCTATGAACTTGCCATCGATGTGCTTGTTCTCATGCGAACCTCTTTATTAAGATCGAAGTTGTCTGATCCTTGACACTTTTGGTCGCTTGTTTGACATTGGTTGGCAGGGTTCTTTTGTGTTGCTTATCCGGAGGGCTCTTCATTGGAGGCCAAAACCAGCCAAGATGAACAACGCGTTGTAAATGGGTTGTTATACACCATGGGCCGTAAATGAGACCAGAAGCAACACGACCCGTAAATGGTCCAAAAGCCCCTACGTTTTTTAGAAACACCCTATGGGTTGATTGAATGCACCGAAATGCACCATAGACCGAAAATGCCACACAGACACAAGGGGCAGTAAATGGGTCGGTAGACACAAAGGGCTGAAAATGGCCCAGAGAAACCACATCTCGGAAGTTGGCCGAAATGCATACGGTACAAGCCGAAACTGATCAATAGGCACCACGGGCCACACATGGGCCAGAAGTATCAACAGTTAAGGGACTAGATGAGTTATGAACCTAAATGTGCTAGTGCACACGGGCGCCCTAAATATGCTTCCTCGATATCTTTTGTTAGTATGCAACGATAGTATGTGAGGATTTGGTTTAACAAAGAGTTATGACCCTTAAATATGTTATGAAAACATTGAAGAATATGGGCCAGAACTGTAGACTTTGGTTTACTAGTTTATTTTGCTTCCATTTGAGTCAATATGACAAACTGTACTACTGAGGGGGTCAAAGTGAAAGTTAGATTGAACTCTTCTAGTATGTGCTCAATCCAAACCCAAAATCTTTCATTGAAAACTTTGAGAACGTAAACACAAGTGCATTTGGCTTCAGAGTCCGAGATGTTATTCTTCGAGACTCCTTAGCGCAATTGCCTTGCAAAACAACTAGTTGTCTTGCGCGGGAAGACAGACCACGTGAGAGAGTTGCTTTGAAATCCTACCGTTAGCCACATGTCGTGTTGATGATGTGAGTGAGCCTCCAATGTTCATATTGGCCCACAAGTTTGCTCCACCGACTATAAAGACCCTCTTAACTCAACCTTAAACCGGTGGCTGCTCCGCATAAAATTTAGGCAGATATTATCTGAGCAACCCATGTCTCCCATAGATCTGAGAGAATTCCAGTGAGAAAAAACTCAGAGCCTAAAACTGCTCTCCCGTAGATCTGAGAGAATTCTAGTGAGAAAAAACTCAGAGCTTAAAACTGCTAAGTGATTGAGTTCTTAAATTAAGTGAACAAACCATTGAAAACTTTATCTTATGAGTTCCCAGTTCAATCTCACCCCCTTCAACCAGACGTAGAGTTGTGTCAGTAACTTAAATTAAGTGAACAAACCATTGTTTTACTCTGTATTGCGAAGGGCTAGCACTCTCTATATTTTGTCTATCTGCTGCCATAACTTTATTGCATGCCTTTCTATTATGATTTGTCAGGTCTTAATGTAGATGCTCTGTTCTGGTGTCCATTATGCGTATCGCCGCCCTTGCTAGCCATGAAGCCCATGTGTGCCCTCAATTCTCCGAGCATGTCGGCGATCGGCGATTAGGTATTTGGGGCTGCGACTCTCATTAAGGAGGCCATCGGCGATGCAGTTGAAGTATTTGGTGGATCAAATGGCTAATAAGCTACCAAAGTGGAAGGCATCGCTTATGCCAAAGAGCGGTAGACTTACCTTGGTCCAATCGGTGCTATGTGCCATGCCGATCCATGCAATGATGGCGCTAGATCTACCGATGAAAACAATTGCTGCAATGAGGAAGATTTGCAGAGGTTTCTTGTGGTGTAGACGCGCGGAGGCCAACGGTGGCAATTGTGCGGTGGCTTGGGACGCGGTGTGCACACCGAAATGGGCAGGTGGCCTTGGTTTGCCAAATTTACGCTGGATGAACATAGCAATGCAAGCGAGATGGCCGTGGCTTGCGAGGAGTGATGAGACGAGGCCATGGAGAGAGTTCAAGATCAAGGTCCCGGAGGAGTCAATGGGGTTGTGTAGGGCGGCCATGAGGAGTGTGGCGAACTCTGGGCTTGCGACACGTTTTTGGGAGGACCGCTGGCTTGATGGCAGCCGGATTCAAGATGTTGCACCGCTCCTATACAGCCGGGTTCCAAAACACATCAGAGACTCCCGGTTAGTTGCACCGGCGGTGGAGAATGGGAGTTGGGCTTTGGATGTTGGCCCTGACATCGGACCTGCCGTGTTTTGCACGAGTTCTTTGTGGTATGGCAACTAGTCTCAGCTTGGGAGCCCATGGTGGATGTGCCTGACAAGGTGGTCTGGTCGTGGGAGGCCACCGGACAGTTCTCCGTCAAATCTGCCTATGAGGCTGGCTTTTGGGGTCGAGAAAGAAGTGTGACGGCGGATCTAACTTGGAATCACGTGCACCAACATGGTGCAGGTTCTTCACGTGGTTGGCCCTCAGGGACCGATGCTGGACGTCCGACCAACTAGCGAGGCGAGGGTTGCCACACCAGGACGCATGCCCGTTCTGTGACCAGGAGGACGAAACCATTAACCACATTTTACTCACTTGCGTCTTTGCTAGGACTGCTTGGGCGAGGATCTGCGAGGCCTTGGGCAAACCGGATTGGACTCCCACTCAACAGGACAAGTTGGCGGAATGGGCTGTGGACAAGCAAGGATTAGAAGGCATGAGCACCAAAGATCTCCGTACTATTATTGTGCTAGTATGGTGGGAGTTGTGGAAGCTTAGGAATGGTATTATCTTTGATGGGGCGCGCCCTTGCTTAGAGTATCTACTTAGGAGAGTGAGGCAAGAGGGCCAACTGTGGGCTTCGGCTGGGCTAACGAAAGGGAATGTAACCCCCTTCTTTAGTAGGGTGGAGAGGTGGGGGACCAGTGAGGAGTAATTTGTACCAACAAACTGTGTAAAGTGGTGGAGGCTTTCTTTGCCTTTCTTCTTTAATATATGATATGCACACTCGTGTATATTCGAGAAAAAAAAATATCTCCGAGCACGTCGACTGTGCTCTAACATCGAGTCTTCCCCGAATTACATGCTATTATCTCTGTTTCATAATGTAAGATGTTTTTTGACACTACATTATGGGACGGAGGGAGTTATTTAAAATCCCAAAATAGTGAACAATTCACGTGTCATCTTGGTAGCTGCTAGCTGCATCCGAGCTACCAGAAAAGCCAAGTCAGAGCCCGGCCGGCCTACTTTTGTTTGCATGAGGACAAGTGGAGTAATCACCCTAGCTAATTAAACTAGCCTATCGGTAGAGCTCAGATTCCCAATCTATAGCAGCTCCTGATTTGCGCATCGTGCAGCTGCCCGCCGTCCCGAATAAAACATGGTACGATTCCACTGGCACATGCACACACAGATGGAAAGTTTATGTACTAGTCCTTCCTAATCTATCTATGATGGAAGAAAGTAGATGTCAAAAGACAAACTTCGGCTCTTTCTTTCTCAAAAATCAAGTCTAGAAATGTTTGATAGTGTTGCGAATGACTAGATCATGTAATGTCTGTGCATTGTGTTAGAACAAAAAGAAGAAGGCCAGCGGAGGCAGGATGTCAAAAGGAATATTGACTTCAGAAAGTTGCCCAACAGGTGGACGATCAGAAACCATGGCCGAAGTAAGACACGCATTATGCCATAAGGATGTGATTTCCCGCCGATTGATCGGCCCTATCATGTGAAAACACTATCATGTGATTCTTGCCGGCCCTACGCATTTCCATTGGAAAACACTATCATGTGATTCTTGCCGGCCCATCGCTCGAAATTGTCATGCTACTCTCACGGCTCTCGTGCATTACGTCCAACGCAACAAAGTTGTACAAAGTGAGCGACAAGTAATATGGATTGGAGAGAATATTTTATTTTCAATTTTTTTTAAAAAGGAGACGGTCGAAACTCCTCATGGAACTCGGAATAATTTCTCAAGGCAAAGATAAACAGTTGGAGTAACAATTCCATGAAGGTCCATAAGTTTGTCTTGAATTTTAAGGTCAACTTAATCTATTTATTTCCCGCAAAAAAACAATCAACATCATCATTTATCATGAGCTGACAGTTTTTTTTATTTTAGAAATACCAAGAAGGACCGAAACACACATCACTATATTTGTGAATGTCAACTGAGGACTAGAGTCACATAGTTTTGAAATTCAGTATTCTCTGGCATCTCTCAATTTTTCCTGACGAAGAGTTCAAACCTCTGTTCTCTGCATCAGTGACACCTTGCTAGTGTTAGTACTTCAACTATATTACTAAAAAAAATCCACCGTGGCCAGGTAAGATCTCAAACCAGAGATTTGATCATTTTTTGTGCCAAGTGTTTTCTTTTGCGAAAATATCCAAATCTATTACTCCCTTCATTTATTTTTATTCCGCGTATTAGGTTTGTCTGAAGTCAAACCTTTTGAAGCTTGACCAAGTTTACACACAAAATTATTAACATTGACAATACAAAATCAATATCTTTAGAATCATCATGGAAAATATTTTCATATTATATTTGTTTGGCATTGTACACATTCATGTTTTAAATATAAATTTGGTCAAACTTACAAAGTTTGACTATAGACGAATCAAATACACGAAGTCAAAAGAAATAGAGGAGTATAAAAGTTCACCAGAAATACAAAGCATCACAAACATAATAAAAATTCAATCAAGGTTCTTGGACCACTGAACGACCATTGTTACCACCAGAACAAGCTGCCACATGCCACGGACGCCGCTCGCTTACCGGAGCTGTCCTAACATTGTCGAGGACGACCGGAAAGTTTTCGTGCACGTTCCACTAAGGACCAACGTCTTGGAACTACATTTGTTTCCGTTGAACCATTGAATTGATCTGAAGTATGTGACACAAAAACTCACTATCGTGTAGGTACAACGCGAAATCCTAACGTCGCCATCCCAGGGAGACGACATGAATCTACACCGAAACTCCAGCGACATCATCCCAACAAACGAACTCAGGAGGATCGAAGCCTGGAAAACCAGCTGGAACATGAAGCTCGCCATCCGCCACAACGCCATCCCCATGAGAGAAAAACCCTAACCTAAAGTACTAGCTGGACTGAGGCACCTGGACTTCTCTTCCTGCCGCCGCGGAAGGGGAAGGAATAGATTGATTTGCCAACACATGTAGAATTGTAGTTACATATGTGAAATGACACACACACACACACACACACACACACACACCTTTTTTTAATCAAGAGCATTATTAGTCAAAACACAGGATTACAATCCTTCATTACACAAGCCGTAAGGAAGGATGGGATACAATTTATCCACAAACAACGTCTCCTAGAGAAATTACTCTGCTTAGGGAAAGATGCGCTAATTCATTAGCTTCTCTCGTCGTAAACAATATGCGAAATTTCTCAAATAGTCAACCTTTTGACCCTTGTAGGCACGTGTCAACCTTATTAAGCTGCACCGTCAGTAAGCATAAGAATCTACCAAAACCAAACCTAACTGAATATATTCTGGTCTATACATAATTAATAAGTGTCAAAGATGGCCAGACTCTGATTATTCTTCTCATGCATATGCAGGACCTTTGTGTTTATTATAAGTACTCGGGCACATATAACGGTGCAATGCAATGCAGCAACGGATGAAAGATATTACAACTTAGAAGAGGGGCCTTGTATGAGGGATATAGCTGATTTGGTAGCCAAGGATGACTTGCCTACACTACATGCATATATGTGTAAACTTTGCTATATATAGCTCTGTTTTTTTCCTTTTGTATGGAAAAAATAGAGCTATTCGGAGTTTATATAGGCATGTCCTCCTTGGCTATTCGGAGTAGCTCCTGTCACTCATGCAATGCTTAGTTTGCTCTTCTTTTCGCACTTGATTTTGCAGGCTACATTGACTCCTAGGAATCGGTCGATGACAAGTTTGCCAGGCACCTGAGTAGATTCTAAAAATTGGTAGAATCCATGTTGTCTTGGCATTTTAGGTTTGTTTCTTATGTCTTGTGAACACATTTATTTACCCTGCAACATTTAGTGTCAAATTGACCGCGAAAACATGAAAAGGGCACACATACACATATCCATAATCTACTCACTTTAGAAATATTTGATATATGCAATAAGTGTGTCATGTCACCACGTGCTTCAAACTTACGGTAGACACTCAACATGACCACATAATTTGTTCGTGACAACTGGGAAGGAGATTTTCTCTCTGAATGAGTCATAGAAACCACCCGGATAATTTTTTTTTGTCAAAGTGACCATTCTAATAACATTCGAAAATGTATAGCTGTCTGTCCTGGGTCAACCTTTTTATTTGAGTAAACACGATGTGTATGTGCCACTTGGCTGCAGGACAGCAACGGAATTCTAATTTACGGTCGCCGTCCAGGCCTTTTCCAGCGGACCCTCAGCGGGCGGGACACGTGTCTCCACCTGCTGCGGCTGCAAAGCTGTTGCCTGTAGACATCGGCATCCTCCTCCCCTGCTTTCTCCACTTTCCCCTACCTCCATCGCTCCACCCTCGGCTGCGCGGCCGGCCGGAACCACCGCGCGCCTCTCTACACCACCGCTCTTCGGCCCTGCCTTCTCCGCGGCCGAGGTAAGGAGGCAGCCCTCCCCCCGCAACCGGATCCGTCGCGTTGCTCTGCCACGGCTCTTCGCTATCTTCGCTGCGCCTCTTGCTGGCGGCGCCCTGGCCGGCGGTCGAGCCGGACGGGAGGGTAGCAGACCGATCGGAGGCCCGGGATTCGTAGTTTGTCCTGTTGCAATGCCGGCGATCGTTGTGCCATCGTCAATTTTGTCGTCCAGTCGTGCTCTGTGCGGGTTTTGGAATTCGGACCTTTTGCTGGTGGTGTGGGGTTTCCGCTCCGTGGTGAGGTGCGGGAGGGCTTAGGGGACGCCCTGAAGCTGTTCGGCGTTATTTCTGTGAGCGCTAGGAATTCTTTTGCTGCACATTCATAGCTCACAAGCCAGTAGTGTTCATGCGTGCGGATGAGCATGAGTGGAGGATGCGCATGCCACACGCAGTATGCCGCTCCTGGAGATCGCTTAGCAAGTTCAAGCTATTGCTTAACTGTGTCACCAGCCAGGACTTCGGAATTTTATGGGAGTTGACTATGGACAAAGTGTGCACTAGTGTTACTTGGCAAAACTTGTTTGGGAGACGCCCTTGTACCCAAGTTTTACCTCATCATGTCATTCCTTTTACCCAACTTTTTAGTTTTTTTACCTCATCATGTCATTCTTGTAGATCTTCCACTTGGTTCTCATGGACGACAAGACTGAAAAAGGGAAAGAGAAGGATGGCTCTGCTTCCACTCCACCCAATCGCCGCAAAGTGAATGTTTTCTCCAGCTAAATATGATATGCATATAAGCTCAGTGTGTTTGCTGCTTACCATTTCTTTACTTCTACTTTTCGCGTGCAGGCCGGACTTAAATTTTCACCCAAGGTGCCTACTAAGAAGACACCAAAAATTGTCCCTAAGATGTAATGTACATTAACCAATGCTCTGTTTATGCATGCTTGTTCGACTCAGTATTTTCTATTTAAAGTAGGCGCAGTGCTTGTGCAAAGAAAGTAATGGTGGGATTCTACAGGGAACCGGAAGAGGAGAGGGAGCTTGACACAATTGATAAGGAGTTACTGATGAAACTTAGAATACCACAGGTACTTGTATGTCTTGAGTCCGATTTCTACGTGCCTGATTTAGGTTGCTGGTGATTTATTCTGTGGTTTCATATGCAGAGTCAAGGTGCTCTCGAAAGAAGATCCAAGGCTGAGAAAAGTGGTTAGTACTTTATTGATGTTGGTTGCCTTGCAATATCTACTGTACTTCCTGTTCGATCCTGCATTCACTAGCCTACATCTGATGAAAAATAACTAATCAGTTAACTGCAGTTTCTGTCACACAAAGTTCCTAAGATTCTAGAATCACAACCTCCTTTGAATCTTGAGAGCTACTGAACGATTTGTGCCAAATAAGACACCAGTATCTCTGTATTTTTGAACATTTCATACTGACCATGTTCATATCGAATAGCTATTGGGTAAATGGTAATGGTGAGCTGTCCAAGTGCAAGGAGCACAAAGGCATCTAGTTCAAATATGCTATCTATTCAACTTGCATTGCCTAAGCAGACATGTTTGGTCAGGAAAAATCTGGACTCTGGAGTTGTCTCATGAAATCGGCACTAGCCTAGGATATAATTCGACTGGAGGTTTTGTCCAAACTAATGACATGCAGCATGATGCACCTTAGAGGCTTAGATAATTGTTGCAAGTTAGATAATCAAAATTCTATTTAGAAGTCAGCACTGATTCGTCCATAAAATATGGGTTTATGAATATTTATAACAATCTCAATACCGCCGGTGTAACGGCATTATGTTGTTTTCAGTTTATAATTTAGTAATAACATACTGCTCCATTACGACTGTAGAAGCCTGTGTTCAGGTTGCATTTGGACAAGTGAACTCTTCAACTGCAAGATCCTTCCCCAACCCTAAAAGTTCTTCATCAGGTAGTAGCTTAAGGTTGCCACTCCCATTTGTTCCGTATTTACCTTCATCTGAACATTTACAGAGCAATGTATCATTTCTTCTGCTAGTTAAACAAGAGCAGGAGGTAAACCTTTTTAGCAAGTATATGATGTCTGGCGTTACGTCTTCTGCTGCAAAGTTACCCAAACAGTTCACTGGACCTCAGGTTAGTAAACTCATACAAGCATAACATAAGGGGTGGGGTGATGGGCGGTTGTTTTGTTAATTACCTGACTTATCTCCTAACTGTTGCAGGACTTTACCCATCACAGCTACAACTATCCTCCTATTACTCTCCCTCTGAGGAGGCCCCACTCTGCAGATCCAGGTTATGGTGTTGTTCATTTTTGCAGTTTTTGGCTTTTTGCCACATCATGCTCACAGTTTGCCTTTCAAAAACGCTTTAATCGACATTCTTCTATCTTCGGTACAGAAGATTTTGACAAAGACGCGTTCGGAGAGTTTTCTTCCAGCAGAACACAAGATGGTGAATTAACTGCAGCTAAAGAACTTGGGCTAATGGTATGTATATCATGTTGCATGATATCATGTCGAGGAACACCGTTCTTGTTCAGGTATTCATATCAATGCAAAAAAAAACACCACATGTTGATGGAACTGTCTTTTCTTGTGATGGAACTGTTGGTTACTCATTCTCTTTTAGTTTTGTATCTTATATTGATCGAACTAATTGTACCGGCTGTATAGTATTAGTAGCCTAAAAACTGATGTATTATATCAATTGTTTAACAGGACACTGAGGACAAGATGAATACACCACAGTTGCTCTTCTTCCAGTTCCCTGCATCTCTTCCTTTACCGCAGGTTGTATCAGTTGCTGGGGGAGATATGGACACCAGTGACAGTGAGGGGGTTGAAACAGAAGAAACCAACAAGAAGAGGAGACTCGAGTCGATCAACGGCTGTAAGCTAAAAGATTTGCCAGGTGGTCTCATGGGGAAGCTGCTCGTGTACAAGAGTGGTAAAGTGAAGATGAGGCTTGGAGATGCACTCTTTGATGTAAGTGTTTAAGAATTCTGCACTTCTTTATGCTGCATTTTCAGCTTATGTTTAGTCTTTCGATGATGCAGTACTTGAGATGAATAAAACGTGCAGGTTTCAGCTGGTTTGGACTGCACATTTGCTCAAGAGGCTGTAGCGATCAACACAAACAAGAAGCACTGCTGCAGCCTGGGGGAGGTGAACAAGCGTGCCATCCTAACTCCTGATATCGAGTACTTGGTAGACTCCATCAAGAGGATTGGATAGCCTGTGGGGAACTGCAAATAACTTCTGATATTACCTCCGAAAGTGATGCGAAGTGTGTTACTACTTACTACCGCTGCTCTTGTTTCACACTGAGAACTGTGGTTGTGGAGATGTAAATTTGCATTAGGAGAATCGTGGAAATTGATATCATGACATGGATGTGGTAGTGACAGCAAGTGGAGATGTTTTGCCGATTCTTTAAATTTTCATGGTACAGTGGGTGAGTTTTCTCAATTTCTGAGATCTGTCACTTTGGTCAAGAGTTCACTGGTGATTACCACCACACAGTCATTTTCACTTATGCGGCCTGTGTAGAACTCATTTTGTTGTTGTTTTGTCATTCTATGCTGTTTGCTTTAGCACTTTGTACAATCATGGGCTTCATGAAGAGCAAATTAAGGATTACAGGCAAACATACATGTTCCCTTTTGCAAAGTGTGTTTTGCCTCATGATTATGCAGTCCTGCTACAATTCAGGCTTACCACTATCGAGTTTCGACATATGTGATGGATCATAGTGTTGTGCTCTCACCGCTCAGTGCCGGGTAGCTAGTGCCATCAGCGCATTCACTTTTGGTGGTTATGGTTTGTTGCCAAGGCAACACATACACTTTACAAGCGAAGTCAATTTTGATAATTCTTCAGCGGAGCGTCTGCACTTTGCGGATTCAAATATGGTGCATATTTAAAAAAATGATTCATAGTAATATTGTGGAGATGTAAAACCCGAGGACAAGCAAATTAAACTACAATGTAGAACTGCCAGCAACAACATCAATCTAGAATTTGACTAGTGGTACAAGGCAGGTAGTTATCCTTATGCTTACGGGCTGAAGAAGAGCAGACCATGCACGAACAACTCTGATCCTCACCGAGGGTAAATCTCTATCCATGTCGGCTGTACTTTGATCTGTCGAGTTATGTTAGAGAACTGAGACCCATCCTTAGCTCTGCCACTAGATGTAGTGGGCATTGACAAGTAATAGAATTGTTGCTACTATTAACAAGAGAAAGCTATGCCCGTCCCAAAGCAGTAGACCGCATCCTCAAGTGGAACGTTTGTATAGAAAAATAACACTGATATACCGCCACTAATTCAGTTCTCTTCTAATATCACATCCATGATTTGCCTTCTACTAGTAATTAAGCAGCTAGTGAGAGGCTGAGTCGCTATCTACATTTGCAGCCTGTGCTTCCTTGTCTCAGTTTAGACACCACGTCTCACAGGCCATGCTATTAAATATGCATGGTAATGGCTGGCTTCACCTTAAATGCATGATGCATGCTTAGGAGATGATCATAAGGTCTCAAACATGGAAGAAAAGAAATATAGCAGCTTGTTGTACAAAATCGTTGGAAAGAGCTTGAGGATCACGCATTTGAGACGAGCCCAGCCATTACGACGAACAATTCTCTCTTCAACTTCTATGCATGATTATGTACGCTCATCATGTTAAATTTCTTCCGCTGTATGACGCAGAATTACGGAGGGGTACGGTGAGCATAAAAATGTGTCATGGCTGTGTACTCAGATACCTACCATTTACCTATGCATATGATTCTTCTTCTTTATGAGGAAAACCTACACATATGATTCAACAAGAGATAAATTACATGACAAAGTAGGAGAGTGCTACACCTGTTTGAGAATACATAGAAAGCGTCATCAACATTTACAATCGAGCTGCAGTTGTTGTTCACGCCGACAAAGTTAGTGCTGCAGTTGTGAAGCAACCCGGTCCGTTGCATTTTTTCTTTT